AAGTGACACGAAAACTCACATTTGACCCGAAAACCTGAGATTGACCCGTTTTGACCCGAAAATCAGAGATTGAGCCGATTTTTGACCATAAAACTAGCAATTTTGGGTCAACCCCGAGTCATTCGTGTCGGTTCGGGTTCGGAAACTTGACCCATTTTAAAAAATGGGTCGGGTTCGGGTTGACCAGAATAGTGCTGGGTTAGTTCCGGGTTTGACCCGAACTCGACCCGTTGACCCGAATTGACACCCCTAGATACAATTGATCTTCTATGGGAGAGGAAGATCCTGCTCTCCCAAATCCCTAACCGTCTACTAGAACTTAAAACTCCCTAAGAACCATCTAAATTCAACAAATAACATCATTATGTTGAAATCACCCTATTGTTAGCCTTGAATAGACTCCCCTAATTTCCTCCCAAATCAGCCTCCTTTTCCTAAATAATTTCCTCTCATATTTGAATTCAAATAAGATCTCCTGTCCTAAATAATTCCCTCTTAATTGTAATTAAAACTTTCCTAAACAATTCCCCCTTGATTCCTCCACCATTTTTTTAAATAATTCCCTCTTAGATTTTGAATTCAAATTAAATTTCTTGCCATAAATAATTCTCTCTCAATTGTAATCAATGCTTTCATAAATAATTTTCTTTTGATTAAGAACCTTCCTAAGCACTCCCTCTAGATTAGGAAACTTTTTGATTTCCTTCCAATCAAATCGACAGGTCCATCAATACTCTCATTCCAAAGTGCCACATTGTCCTCTAGTAGAACGAAGGAAACCGCTGCTGAAGCACTGAGCTAATAGCATTGGAATGGAAAATGGGCTGTCACTTGGTCGAATGATCTCTGCCTTAAGCATCTCCTTGATTAATCTCTCAATTTCTTCATTTTGGATTTGGGGATGACGGTACAAACTTCAAATGAACATTGATAGGCGATACTCTCTCCTTCAAAAGATGATAGCATGCTCGCGTTCCTGCAGAGGAGGCAACCACTGAACTAGCTGGAACACTCCTCGATATTGCTGAACCATGTGTGGTGCTTCTATCATCTCCCCATCTTTTTCTCCTTTCAAACTCGATAGCTCCACCAAAAATCCCGCTCCTTCACCCTTTCCACTCCTTGTAAGTGGCTCCAAAGGTAGCATCTCTTCTTCTTCTCTCAACATTTCCACCTCCTGATTATTATTATTATTTATTAATTTATTATTATTATTTTACATTTCCATCTTCTGATCTTCTCCTCTCCTTGTAGGATTAGAGTTTCCTCCACTCCCTTGGTCGTCGGCGGTACACCCCCGCCTACGACAATGCCGTTTTGGTTTGAAACTCGAGCATTTCTCTCATCGTTTCTTCTATGATGACAAACTTCTCATCATCTTCTCATGAATGGTTGAAAATTGCTTTTTTAAATCTGAAATCTTTTCTACAAAATTAGATTTTAATTGTCCAATCTCCAATTCCAGCACTTTTACCTTTCTTTCCGCTATAGGTACTTGGATATAGGCTCCAAACAACAATAAACAACGAATTTGGCCTTCCAATAACAAAAATCAGCAAGACAAGGGAACAAACGCAACAAAAATTATTGAGGAAGACTCGGGATACGTCTCTGGTACCAATTTCATAGGAAGTACTTGTAAAACTCCTCTCTTGGCTGAAATTAAATCACAACAATCTCAAACAGAATCTCAAAGAGGAATTAAGAGCAATAATAATAGAAACTCTTTTTAATTGTTGATATACTGAAGAAAAAAAACGAGTTGCAATTGATCTTCTATTGGAGAGGAAGATCCGACTCTCCCCTCCCAAATCCCTAACTGCCGGCTAGAGCATAAAACTACCTAAGAACATTCTAAATTCAGCAAATAACATCATAATGCTGAAATCACCCTATTGCTAGCCTTAAATAGACTCCCCTAATTTCCTCCCAAATCAATCCCCTTTCCCTAAATAATTCCCTCTTATATTTAAATTCAAATCAGATCTATTCTCCTAAATAATTTCCTCCTAATTGTAATTAAAACTTTTCTAAATAATTTCCTCTTGATTCCTCATCCTTTTCCCTAAATAATTCCCTCTTAGATTTTGAATTCAAATTAGATCTTTTGCCATAAATATTTCCCTTTCAATTGTAATTAAAACTTTCATAAACAATTTTACTTTGATTAAGAATCTTCCTAAACAACTCCCTTTTGATCAAGAAACTTTCTAATTCCCTCCCAATCAAATCGGTAGGTCCATCATAATGATGACTTACTAGGACTCAACAAACTTTCAACAGGCATTTCATGACATGTATCTGCAACCTCATTCATTTCAGTAGGCTTTCCAATTTCTCCATGTTCGTATGTTTTATTGCACTCAAAATAGAGATAAATACCATTTTGAACCAATTTAATATGCTCACTAAACATATTTAAGACTAGACTTATTTGAATATGAGTTACATATAACAATAGTGATTGAAGCCTTGATATTGCTTATCAATTTTTGAGCCACTAATAAAATATCATCTTCAAAATCAAGAATAGAGTAGCTATCAACAGTTGATGTTTTTCACTTTTTTAACAACTCCCTTGTAATATATTCATCAGCCATAATTAGTCTTAAGTATAGACCATTTGTGCTAATTGAACAACTTAGAACAATTTTAAAATCTTCGATACCAGTACCAAGCCTAGATGAAAAAGGTTGAGGGCATTTTTAAGACGCAAAATTTATGCCCCCGATAAGAAAAGAATCCTGGCTCCGCCACTGAATGTAGGTATTTTAATTCTATACACTGTTCTTATCTCATATCACAAGCTAAAATATTAACTACTTACGACATAATTCATATTTTTTAATCGACTATTCTAAGAACATTCTAAATTCAGCAAATAACATCATAATGCTAAAATCACCCTATTGCTAGCCTTAAATAGACTCCCCCAATTTCCTCCCAAATCAATCCCCTTTCCCTAAATAATTCCCTCTTATATTTGAATTCAAATCAGATCTATTCTCCTAAATAATTTCCTCCTAATTGTAATTAAAACTTTTCTAAATAATTTCCTATTGATTCCTCATCCCTTTCTCTAAATAATTTCCTCTTAGATTTTGAATTCAAATTAGATCTTTTGCCCTAAATAATTCACTTTCAATTGTAATTAAAACTTTCATAAACAATTTTACTTTGATTAAGAATCTTCCTAAACAACTCTCTCTTGATCAAGAAACTTTCTAATTCCCTCCCAATCAAATTGGTAGGTCCATCATAATGATGACTTACTAGGACTCAACAAACTTTCAACAGGCATTTCATGACATGTATCTGCAACCTCATTCATTTCAGTAGGCTTTCCAATTTCTCCATGTTTGTATGTTTTATTGCACTCAAAATAGAGATAAATACCATTTTGAACCAATTTAACATGTTCACTAAATATATTTAAGACTAGACTTATTTGAATATGAGTTACTTATAACAATAGTGATTGAAGCCTTGATATTGCTTATCAATTTTTGAGCCACTAATAAAATATCATCTTTGAAATCAAGAATAGAGTAGCTATCAACAGTTGATGTTTCTCACTTTTTTAACAACTCCCTTGTAATATATTCATCAGCCATAATTAGTCTTAAGTATAGATCATTTGTGCTAATTGAACAACTTAGAACAATTTTAAAATCTTCGATACCAGAACCAAGCCTAGATGAAAAAGGTTGAGGGCATTTTTAAGACGCAAAATTTATGCCCCCGATAAGAAAAGAATCCTGGCTCCGCCACTGAATGTAGGTATTTTAATTCTATACACTGTTCTTATCTCATATCACAAGCTAAAATATTAACTACTTACGACATAATTCATATTTTTTAATCGACTATTGAGCTAGTTTATTAATGCTCTTTACTCCTGTCATATGGGTGCGTTGCATTCAAATTCAAGTACTTTTATCGACTTAAAACTCATTATCCTAGTGTTGCAAATGATCATATTGATATTGTATATATCTCGTTCATATCCAACCTATTACAAACCTTGTTGTTCTTGTTATTATTCTAATTAGTGATAATTATATATGTATATATTAGTATCATGGATGATAAGATATTGAGTTAGATGTAGATTTAGGTTTAGTTCTTCTTTTGGATCTGCAACATTTTTGTTGGTTATCAATGTTAATTTGTTGTTCTTTCTTTTACTGTTATGACTGCTTCCATCATTCACATATCATCGAAATGATGTAAGCTTCTCCTTGCCTCTTTATTATTTGTAATGCTTCATATAACAACAGAGTGCTTTAGCAGGTCTAGAGTTACAAATTCTGCAATGGAGGAAGTGGTGAAGATTAAATTCTTAAGTTCGTCAATCTCTTTTATTTCCCTGAATTTTTATTGGTCCGTATAGGGCATGGTTGAAATTCTGGAAAAATAAAAAATCTTTGGATTTCTATGGATGAATAAGTCATTGTTCATCTCAGTTTAACTAGTTAGGTACTTACACTCTCATTCTTGCTTCTTATATATCTGATGAGATATGGTAATTGATACTTTTGCGGAGATGCTGAAGCATAATCACCATCATCTTCATCCTTTCTGCTTTTATAATAAATCTGTGAGGATATGATAATTATACTTGTTTTTACCATGTAATGTGCTGTTTGTAGATAGGACTTTTTCCTGCATTTCTTGTAAAGTTGTTTTGTTTCACTGAGCAGCTTGTGTTTTTTCACCATTTGTATCAATATTAAAGTCTTTATTTTTAAGTTTTTTATTCCAGCGCTTTACCCATAAAGCTTTTTTTTCCCCTTAATTTTCTAACTTATTTCTATCTCTTGTTTGATATGCTATTTTGATAAGTTATTTTTTATGCCAATCTATTTTAGCATGCCACTAAGGAAATTAAAAGGTCATAACATTTTTTTCTAAGGTTTTTTTGCATTCTCATTTCCGCCATTTCCTTTTTTTCAAAAAAATAAAATTATCTATTTGTCCCTTTGATATTCATTTTGCAGATCCTGTTGAGTGCATTACCAGTTTAGTTCTGCCAAGATGATTCTGGAGTTCCTGCTCATGCATCCATTGGAGATTGTTATTTTATGCTTTTCCAATTGATGTTTACCATAAATCTTGAGTTTTCAGCTATGATGACTTAAACCTATTTTAAAAATTTGATACTTCAAAACTATGTAAAATTAATGGTACCTTGGACAAAGAGATTTGGTTTCTTGAAGCACGCTTCTAATGCATTTTCTATTATAAATGATCTCCATGTATTTGAAAACAGGCTGTTTACCGTGCATTGAGATTGTTGTGTTGATCTCCACCCCCATTCCTGGTTTTTTTCCTTCAGAACTTTGCTTATCCAATTCCAGTTTCAAATTATTGCATTATTTTTGTATCAACTACCTTGTTGAGAAAAATATTCTCAGCTTCTTTTTCATCTTAGCTATACTTCACTGGAAGAGAGCTTGTCCCTTTATATATACTTGCTGTACTTGAAGGAGGATAGCTTGTCCCTCTGTATCTACTAATTATATTTTCCAAAAGTTGACTGCTGAGTATAGAATTGGTGTTACTTGTTTACACTTGTGCAGGTACTGAATACTGATGAGAAATTGTATGACGCACACCTTGTTTAGTCTATTTGATCTCATTTTTTCGAACTTCAATGAAATTATTTTAATTTATGGGACCTAGTTTTCATTAAGAATTTTAAGAAATGTGCATTCCCCTTTTACGTTAGAAAGATATTTTTCTATATAATGCAGCTTATAGATCAACTATTCTTCGTGATTCATGTTTTTATCACTCAAATGGATGCCACTCTATCTTCTTTGAAGGCTGTTATTCTAGTATATGGAGATTCTAAGAATATGCCTTTGTCATTTGCAAAAAGTTTAGTATTATCCACCTTTTTTTCTTTTGAAAAATGCAAATTGATGAGATGTTTTTTTTAGTTTATTAATACAAAGTGATTTGAACCTCTCAAAGTTTGTGTTTATATTGTTTATTGTCATGTTTATTTCCTGGATTACGAAGCCACCTAAAATTCAATGGAAAAGAACGAAATCTTCTGCAGAGTATGCATTTTCATTCAGATTTGGTGGCTGAAGTCCTTTACTTGTCGAAGGGGCTGACCAGTAAATTTATTCGATGACGCTGATTTGGCCGTTTTACAAGTCAAAGTAAAAGAAACGCTGTTTTATTTTCTGTAATTTTTTTTTCATTTGGTATTAGAGCCATTATTGATTTTATTCTTATCATATAACCTCGATAACTAATTGTAAAATTTTTATTGCTTTGAATTATTAACTCTTGTTTTAGAACACTTGAGTCTTAACATTATTTGCGTTTGAAGTAGAATGACTGCCATGACAGTTGTTTACAAGAGATGGGATGAAAGCATAAGGAACTTGTCCCAACTTAATACTGTATTACAAGGTATGCGCTGCAACAGTAATTATTGATTCGTTTTAGTGAATACTTTTATGATGTTATTTCTTGAATATATATGACTTGAAGCCTATTTATATGAATACAAAAATGGGTAAAAGAGGATAATATGATTAAATCTTATACTTTCCTGTGACTTTACTAGGGTTTTGCATAATGTAGCATGAATTTAGAAATCAAACCAAATTGATGAAATTTTGTCAGTTTGTTCTGATTTAAATTAGAATTGTTTGGTGGCGGCTCTATTTGGTGAGTTATTGGGTTATTGGGTGTTTGTGTATCAGTTTGGTCTGTCATTTTTGTGTCAGTTCTAACAAAAACCAACACTTTCTCTTATTCCTTCATGGACTTTAATTGCCAAGCAAGAGTTTATATGATAGCCATAATGCCTAATTTCTATTGCAAATAACAATCACCACTTTTATATCTCTTAACTCTGTTGTTTTGAGTTTGTTAACCCTTCTCGACCTCGCCAATGTAGGCCTGCAGTCCATCTTGTTTAGTCTTCAATAGTTACCAATGCCCTCTTTCCTCAGTCATTGGCGTTCTTCTCACCTCAGTTATTGGCTTCCTTCTCTTTGCTCCTTAGACACCAATGCATAATTGCTTCACATATGAAAGATCCAAGATCTAATGTTATTCTTTTTTAAAATTTGTTCCTAGAGTGATTTAGAGCGATGCATGATGACCTTTTTGAAAAAAGAGAAAAAGAATCATCACAAACTATGAAAATGGTGGACAGGTCATACAAGAAGAACCTGAATTTAAAATTTAGGATATACTAGTAGAGATAGTTGTGACAGATCTAGAGGAAGAGAACATTAGAGGTAGGGATTGATGTTTGTGTTTGTTGAAGTAGTCCATCATAGTCTTCATTAGAAATTGTAATTAGTCCAAAAGCAGGGCCTCGAAGGGGACTGGATGTCGAACCATGTTGAGCAGTGGAGGGGTGACTAAATTTCTCTAACCAATTTTCAAAAAGATTATTATTACAACAATAATGAGGGTAAAGGAAAATGTATTCCGACCACCAATTGTCTTGCCACCACATCTTCAATGCTCCTTCCAACTCTAGAGTTGATTGGGGGTCGGAGTTTGAGAGTGAAAAGCTTTGTGATGCAAAGAAAATAAGAAAGAGCACTCACAATATCAAGAATTGTGGAGTTTGGCCATTAGCTGAGATTGCACAACTTGTAGGGAAGGGTGCAAACTAAAGCTAAATGTGGCAATAATAAATATTCGTTGTCTCTGCCAAATGGTAGCATTGAAGTGACTCTTTACATTTTTATTGTAGTGTGTTATATTGTTCTTGAATCTGCATCACTTTGTATTAAAGAGAAAATTTTAGAATAGAGACTATAAACACGAGAAATGTTACCCTACTGAAAGTCGATGGAGAAGAAAATTTCACTTCTTAGTTAAATCTTGAAATATGATAATTGAGGCACTTGAAGGATCATAAAAATTGAGTAGTTGTGTCATTGTTGTTTGTAGGTGTAATTAGATAAGTATTGTGTAATAAAATGCTTGTCATTTTAAAAATTTGAAGTTGTAATTGTTGTTTGCAGGAGTTGCATCAAGATGATGAAGTTTGTTATGAGAATTGACAAGAAAATGAAAACCCTCTGCCTCGGCCACACAAAAAAGTTGTTACCAGGCAATGACAGAGGGTTTCATCTTGTTAGAAGCCCTGACAATATGAGGTGAGATGCACAAAGAATCTAAAAGGAACTCAATTCATGGAGATGGGAGAAAGCTAAAAATATCATGCTTTAAGTAGGTGGAGAGTGACTCATGCAACAAGGGTTGTTGCAAGTTTGGCGCTGTGCTATTTAGGGCACAAGTGAGGTATGAGTGTTGTGAGCCGCGACCAATGTGTGTGCAAACAATGAGTGACTAGCAAGGATTGGGTTGAATGTGCGCTAATCAGCGGTTAATCGGCTCATGGTGAAACTCATGGATCGTAAGCAGGGCGAGACAGAGAAAGATGGGATCGAAGAGCGATGATGGAGGCTAAAGCTTAGTCAATCTTTGATACCATGTTGAGAAGAAAGGCGTCTGATGTATATTATTGATTGAATATGATCGTCTGTAGATGGGCATATAAGATGAATACAATTGGAAGCCAATAAAGGTGAAAATGATGATAACATATGAGGGAATAAGTGCATATTTTGCAAAGCAGATATTCTCTTGACACAAATCATCATAATATTATTTCCCTAAAATATGTCATGCATCAACATCATCAACACTCCTGAATTGATTCTGACAATTTTTAGAAACTTTACAGTTTTATTTCTTTCTTTCATGCATGTTATGGAGTATGTCAATGCCTCTTATTATTTCTTTGCAGATCCATATAGTGGAAGTATTTGCCTTTTTTGGAACTTTGTTTTTTTGTTGTAATTTATATGTACTCAGTATGGTTAGATGCAATCAAATAACTGATGATTTGCCTTGATTTTAGTCATGTTTGCCCACCTATCAGCTTAGAATTCTAGGTCCCTCCAGAGAGTTCCACGCCATGGTCCTTTTTCTTCTTGCTTTGGGAACAGTTCTCCATTTTATTGGTGATAGGATTTATTGAGTTCCTAAGAATTTTGGAGAATATTTGTGTTTATAATTTGCTTAAATACTTCATAACTATAAATTTGAAGCATGGATTAATACAATTTTATTTAGTTGGTGGATAGGGATGGCTTTGTAGCAACTAGCAGTATAGATGCTTGGAAAAAAAGACAAAAAAACTTTATATTTAAAACATCGAATTAGAAAGCAATAGCTGCAGTTCATGCCACAAAGTAGCTTTACTGAATCGCAGCAATAGTAGCTTTAATGAACCGCAGTTATATTAGTTTAATTGAGGTCATATACCTTTATGCATAATTTTCTTGTTTTTTGGTTCTGTTTTAAGTTTGCTACATAAGGAAGATAGAAGTATATCGTGCCCTGTGAAATAAATCAACGAATTATATGCATGTTCTTATTTTGATTTAGGTTTTGTTTAAAACATTTTTCTTACTATTTTTTCTAGTTCTTTTTTATTAATTTTTTTTAAATTAGAATTTTTATATCAAAAAATTGTTTTAAAAATATTAAAAAAGCTGTTCCAAATGAAAACTCACGCTTCGTTTGGGATGACTTTTATTGTTACGTGAAATAATTTTTTAATTTTTATACTAAAAAATTGCTTCAAGAATCATTAGTGAGATTACATTTGTGTTTATTGGAATGCAGGGCCACCTTGGTTTGAAAGGAGAAACAAGTGGCACATCGCAAGGTTAGAGTTACATCCTTGTATTTCTTGAAGGTAATAAGGCCAAAATTAAGTTGAAAATTTCTTTGGAGTTGCCCTTCTCAAATTATATAGCTAAGCAAACAATTGCAAGTTTTTATTAACTTGTTAAACCTTTGTGATTGAGGGTTTTCATTCTTTATCTGCCTAAGTTTTGATTTACTTAGTAGGTATATTGACACATCCAATGTTTTATTGATTCCTTGCCTTTCAAAAGAAAAAGGAAAGGCTCTTTGCTTACCTAATGCTAATTTGGCTCTTGAATGCCTAAGAGTCCGAAACAAATTGCGAGCTTAAACTTTAAGAAGCCTAGAGATTATTGGGTTCGGACACTGGATACAGCTTATCGTTTGGTACTTCACAATATCGAGTAATACTGAACTCGTTATTGTGGGTACTGTGAAGTATCGAGCTCAGTACCAAGTAGGAAGTGATGTGGTGCATTTTCATTGGGCTCCGGACGTCGTAACCCAATAATTTCCCCCTTTAAGCCAACAAGAGAAATTCTTACGTGCGGCATTTGTTGGTGC